CAGTTTTAATGACAATCTCTAACTTCTATTATGTTACAGGTCTCCACTGGAGGAGCTTTTTAAGAAGCACAGGGATCTGACTGTATCGTCACTGTTCACACAACCTAAAGCCTGCTTTGTTTGTTTTACAGTCTAATTTTAAATTGCACAATTGTTGAGGACATAAATGCAACAATAACATGATGTAACTATTTAATTTATAAATATTAAAGTAATTAATAAATGAATACATGCAGATCTATCTATAGATAAAGGACATAATATTCTCTTGCTGTCTTGACCTTTGACCTCGAGCTCCAGGGATGTACAGGACTGCTAATCTTTGTACAGGACAGTAGTTGAGAGTGAATAAGAAGACACCCAAAGAAGTTTCTCTTTGCTGCTGGAAACCAAATTCATTGCCCCCAAATGACAACCAACAGGAAGACACTCGATAATCTCGCAGTCCTAAAGGGTGATCTTGACACTGGACGCCCTCTAGTGTTCCAAAAAGAATGACAACATTAGTTTTCAGTCCACATCTAAACCATATGGCTACATCAGTTAGTGATACCAAAACAGTGATTTTAGGAACCAAATAGATTGCCAAGCTCTGACTTGTGTCATGTTTGTCAGCAAGGGTTAGCGCTGAGAGAGTGTAATGAATGTAATCATGTGACAGCAGTAAGTGACTCCAGCTCTTTTTCAGGCACCTGACCCGAACTGTCCAGGATTTACTTGTGAATCCATTGGCTGTTATCTTTGATTAGGACAAAATCATCATATTTCAGTCTTTTTTCAGGAGTCTATCAGGCCCAGAAAATCCAGAGCTGACTGAGGGAATACAGAAGCAGTACAGCTTAATCTGTGGCCTTTTACAGATTCTGACTCAGGGCCTGACTCTCAATATGAAAATGACAGTCCTGATCTACGCTGCAAAAAATAGCCAACACTCTCCATAATATAAATATTTATTTGTTTACCATGAAGATGGATTATTTCTCTTTCTATTCAGTGTGTGTGGTTCAGCAGGAAGACTTCTATTTCCTCAAGTTCATTAACAGAACTTCTTTTAGGCTAACCTTTACACAGTAATACATAGTTGTTAATTAAATATATCTAAATATGCTACAAGCATGTGCAAGTGTTTGATTGCCTGCTGCTGAATAGTGAGTATTTGTGCAGGTCTGTCAGTGTCCATCCCATGAATTTTTCCTTCACGTTGTCTGATCCAAGCTGCTGCATAGCCGCTATCAGTCAGAGAATAACCAGAGACGTGACAGGTGATGGTTTAAGGCTGTCCAGGCTGCACAATCAGTGAGTTTGGCTGGATGAGATCAATACTGTACACACCTGTGGAAACAGAAATCAATATTACTTAAATGATCAATTTAAACTTTCCCATGTCTGTTGTCTTCAGTAGTGTTAATAACCCAAAGGTTCTCACATGACGCAGCAGCCAGCAGCAGTGTACAGAGAACATGGTTGATGATGAAGCTGAACTCATCTCTTCTGTCCTCTCACTTTTGCAGCCACAAACTTCATTGCATTTGCAATTACTTCTTTTTGATGTGACGCTTTTTCTCTGATTTGAAAGGGGTTTTTTTTGTTTGCTTTTTTGCTATTAAAAAAACATCGTGTGTTTTTTTAATAGGATGAATGGAGATTTAACTGTATCTTGAGTACTAATGGTTTTTTTTAAAAAGGTAACCTTTTGTACTAATTAGGGCAGCAAAGCTATCAGATTTTCAGCATAAGATAAATGTGATACAGACAAAAGGTGCTATGATCACTAGATCTCACCTTATACAGATACATCTAAAATACTCTTCATCTGCTAGAAATTAAAGTCATTGTCTGAAAATGACAGCCAGTAAGAAGCCATTTTCTTTGAAATCCAGGCTTGTGAACCACAGCTAAATGTCAGTCTTTGTTGATTTAGCAGTTATTTAAAGATGAGACTTGACACTGACTGCCCTCTAGTGTTCCAATAATTGGCAACAATAGTTTTCAGTCCAGCTCCCAAAGTGTGTGCTTATTTCTGATAGTTATAGATCAACAGTGATTTTAGCAACCAAACTGCTTTCAAGCACAGACTTGTATAATTTTTATAAGTGTCACTGTTGGGGAAGTAATGGATGTTAGTACGTCCTGTCGCATGTGACAGCATTAAACCACTGCAGTAATTTTTCCCATGCTGAAATATATTTTTCAGCACTAAAATCACTGTGTATTATCAACAGTACGTCAGGTATCGTCAGGTTGCAGATTTTTCTGTTCAAATCCATTTTTCTTTCATTTTTCTGTTCATTCATTTTGTTTCATGATGAGAGCTCGCATTTGTAATTTGAAGATTTTATGCAGTTGTTAAACTGGCTTCTACCACTGTAAGTTCTGAGTGCACTAATAAATACAATCTTCAGTCACCTGTTTATTTGCAAATAGATGGTAAACTAGCCCTGAAGTAACTGAAAGTGATAGTTGCTGTAATATTTTGATACTCCAACTCTCTCCCAGTCCCCAGGAGACTGGTCAATCTGTAGGATCCACCAGGTCTTGTAATAAAACTATGAAAAATGTACTTTGTTATAAGATGAAATTGAGCATTTTTAGCCTTTTACTTGTGCTGCAATTTGGTGTGTGTGGCACTCTCACAAGAGTTTTAGTTTGTCACTTTTGATTGTTTGAATCCAAAAATTACATAGTGTCACCTTTACAACTTGTGTGGCTGCTGGCTGTTGAGTATTTGTACACACTTATAGGAAAAAAAAACAATTTAATTTATTCATCAACAAATTATTCATTTACTTTTCCAGCATTTCTGATGTATTAAGTAGTATAAATCAAATAAAGCTTCTCACAGGATCCAACTGTTAGCAGCAACATCAGAGATATAGAGAACATAATAGTAGTTTATGATGAGGCTGAACTGATATGAGCTCTACTATCCTCTCACTATGCAGTCACCTATTTCAATTCCACTATGAGGAAGTGCTCGATGTTTATTTGGAGGAGATGGAGGAGCTCTATATAAATGTCCATTTGGGCTCATACAAGCTAGGTCCCTTAACTTTTGGTACCTATGCATAAAGCAGGCAATTATATGAAAGCAAACACAAACAAATAACCCCCCCCCCCCAAAAAAAAAAAAAAAAAAGAAAAAAAACCCGATACAGATACAAAACTTTCTATAACATTTATTTAATTCTATAAACAAAGACAATATTATTTGTTTCCATTTAATGTATGTGGTTCAGCAGGAAGAGTGCTGTTTGCTCAGGTGCAAATTCTTTTTGTTTTAACTTTATCGAATTAGACACAGTGGTTTGTGCAGGCTCCCTGTCTCTTAATTCCTTTGATAATATTCACATTTAGAGCACTTGTGGTTGTAGATTTAAATATGCTACAAGCGTGTGTGTGATGGAGTGTTGCTAATTACTGAGTATTTGCACAGGTCTGTCAGTGGTTTGTATCACTGTGTGGTAACCTTGCGCACAGTAATAAACAGCTGTGTCCTCAGGCTGCAGATTTTGTCCTGCTATTGTCACTGTTTGATGCTGAACTTGTTCTTTAAAGCACCATTTTTCTCAGTGCTCCCATCAGACCACATGCAGAAAATGCAGTCTATTTGTTTTCCATCACGCTGTCTGATCCAACATGTTCCATAGCTACTATCAGTCAGAGAATAACCAGATACCTGACAGGTGATAGTCAAAGACTGTCCAGGCTGCATAACTCTTGAGTCTGGCTGAATAAGATCAATACTGTACACTCCTGTGGAGACAGAATCAATATTTAAGCCATTATTCATTGAAGTATTTAGCATTTCTATTCTATTTAGTGGTATGAGTTCAGCAAAGCTTCTCACAGGATATAGCAGCTAGCAGTAATATCAGAGCTATGGAGAACATGGTTGATCTTGAAACTGAACTGATGTGAGCTCTTCTGTTGCAGCCACACACAGTTTTGAGGAAGTGCTTTATGTTCATTTGAATAAATGGACTGTGCATTTGCACAAAGGTTCAGTGACTGATGACAAACGACAGGCATATTAAATCACATTTTGTCAATTTATTTTTGATTTGCTGCATTTTTTCTTAATATACGAAGTGTGGGGTTTTTTTTGTTGTCCCTTTCCCCCCCCCCTCAGTTTTCAGTCTGTTCATCTGCAGATACAGCAGCAGCTATGGATTATTATGCTTGCATCCCAATTGAGTTCTTTTTAAGGTGCCTGTCTGACCTAGGCCTGAGGCTGTAGAGGTCAATCTGGTTTGATCACTGATTCAGTTTCTGCCAGAAAAGAACTGACAGTGTCTCATAAATAATCCATAACATGTCTAAAACTTGCCTTGTGTTTCTCATTACTTCAAAGTGCTGCACAGGAACAAAATGCAGCTTCTTCAGTCCTCTTTGTGTGCTTTCTTGTGTCTTCTGTTCCCTTATTGATGCACTCATACACTCTGCTTCAATTCCGAGGAAGAGCTTGTTGCTAATTTGAATGTACAGTTGGTCTGTGTGTTAATTTTACTTTGATTTGATTGATGATTTAATAAATAATTGGCTTTACTCTCTGTTTTTCGCTCCTCGTAAAACAGTTTTAATGCTTGAACAGATGTCAGGCAAAGAATGTTTCCCATTCATGTTTGATATTGGAACATAATCAATAGAATAAAATGAAGCTTCAGTTTTAGCTGAACAAAGATACTGAAATCTTGTGTTTACTAACAACTGTTATAATGATTTGGTCGCTTTCCATCATAGTTTAAATGCTATTAGAGCTTCCATTTGAATAGCTGGGATGTCTGGTTAGGCCTGAAAGTATCCTCACAAATATAGAGGAGCTGCTTGTGATCGTTTTAACTGACTGCCATGTTTTATTAATTCTGGATACCTTTGATAATGACATCACTTACATGATGGCACTAGAGGAGACAAGAATGGAGAGCATACCTGAAAGATGCAGGAGAAATTAAGCATAATGAGGAGTGTAGGATATTGTACAGGAGCTCCAACAACTTAATTCACTGTGAGTCTCGAGCACAATAATAAACAGCAGAGTCTTCAGTCTTCAGACTGTTCATCTGCAGATACACCTGCTGTTTGCTGTTGTCTCTGGAGATGGTGAACCGGCCTTGGACTGACTGAGAATAGTAGATGTAAGCACTGTCATATCTGATATAGGCGATCCACTCCAGTCCTTTTCCAGGAGCCTGTCTGATCCAATGCATGCTGTAGCCTCCAAAGTTAAATCCAGATGTTGTACAGGTCAGTCTGTGAGATTCTCCTGGTCTTTTAACTGCTGGTTCAGATTCTGTCAGAGTCTGACAATCTGCACCTGGAACCAGTCACAAACAGGAACATATTAAAAAATAAACATAAAGTATATTGATGAAAATAAATAAATAAATAAATAAATAAATAAATAAATAAATAAATAAATAAAAACAGAGAAAGAGTGTCACCTGCCCAACACACAGTTAAAAGTAGCAGTGCTGTCCAATAGTCCATGTTTAACTGTGTCGGCCCAATGTTGTGTCAGACTCTGTAAGCTGCCAGATAAGTAGAGGTGGAAGACAATGTCACATTTGCATTTCCTAAAAGTAGGAGAGGACTGGCAAATCACAACAGTGACCTTTACTTATTCAACTGATCTCATGTTACCAAAACTTTAAAGTTATCACAGGTTTCTTCTCAAAAACACATTTACAAAAGTTTATATTTTATTTTTTTTAAAAACTGCAGCTGTTTTCATAAATAATGTAAATAAGGTAAGTGAAACTGTGGGATTCTCCAGGCCTTTTAATCACTGATTCATTCATTTTTAATCCTGCTGTAGATATTGCCGTGTTAACCATTCCACATGCTCAAGCCTTTTTATTCAGTTGTGAAATTTTAGGAATATATTACTTTGCATTTAAATCAAGATGTAGACCTGTGTTTCAGAGCTTATGTAATGCTCACAGTACAGATACTACAAACCTAGTTTTATAGAATATGGTAGATTACAAATAATAAAGTGTTTAAAACAAGCTCAACCTTTGGTTGTTGACCCAGTGTTTTGAGTTAGTGTATTTTTAACTTTTTTTGTAATGTATTTCTAAGGATGGTTAATGTTATATTGGTTGATTCATTCCTTTGGTCAGATTTAGTCTTGTTCTTTTACTCTTTGTGTTTGTGTAATCTTCCCTCAGTGTTCCTCGTCTGTTCCCTGTGTTTGGTCAGTGTGTGTCTTAGTGTGTATTTCTCGTATTTCCTGTTTTATTCTGACAATCTATTGTTCTCCTGAGCTATGTCCCAATTTAGAGGCTGCATCCTTTGGAGGACCCGGCCTTCGTAGTCTACGTGGGCCGGGTCCTTCGAAGACCAAGAAGGCTGGAAGTGCGAGGTTGTGAAATGGGACAATCTAGACTTCAGATTTGCATCACCAGCTGTCCGGTGTCCTCGTTGGCTCTAGTGAGCCTTGACCACTCAGTCAGCTATCGAGCTGGTGGGTAACAGACGTCTACGAAAACGTCGGAGCACTTTTGCAAATATGTGAAGTCTTGATAAACTGAGCAGATATTTGAAGTCTACACAGCTACATTCTTGCCTGAAAATATGTTAAAAGTTTATTGTGTAACCCAGAAAGAGTAATATTAAAACTAAGTAGCTGCCACCATTGTTGGAAACTGGAATTGGCTGGGCTGCGCTATGAATTCTACACCTGACCCATCCTGTAAATCTGGGGAAATGAACGACGCATTTGTCAGCCGCATTTGGAGCAGCCTAAGAATTGGGAGAGCCTTCGTCGCCGGGCTGTGATGTAATCGGCCTTCAAATGCAGCCCCTGAATTGTGACACTTGTGTGTCCATGTTCAGTTTTGCTTCCCCTGTATTGTTATGCCTGATTTATCCCTCCTGTGCTCCCATGTGTTACCACTCTCCCTAATCCCCCTTGTGTGTATATATATTGTGTGAGTTTCCACCTTATCCCTTGTTAGGTTGCCTGTTCTTCACCCCTTGTGTCTCTCAGGTGCCATGTTCTTTAATGTTTTCCCAGTTTAGGTTAGTTATTGCATTTTGGTTTTTTTAAATTTGTACTTCAAAGTTCTGCCCAATAAGCAGCTCGCCTTTTGTTACACCAGTTCCTATTTTCCTGTGTTGTCTGTGCCTGGGTCCTCTCTCTGCCTCATAAACGTCTGCAGCAGTAACAGTGGTCCATATAAGACTGAGGAAGGATGTTTTTCTCTAGTTTAAAAACTCGTAGTGACATGTTTTCATAGCATTTTATTGTTCGTTTTACTAAATGAATGATAAAAAAAAATCATCCACCTTACAATGATTCTACAACCAGGAGGAATGTGCAGAATGTGACCCAGTTCATCTTGTTAGTTAGTTTTATTTTATTTATGTATGTATTTATTTTGTGTTTCGTTTTTGGAGTGGTATTGTGAGGTGGGAGCTTGTTGACTCTCCTTGCCTTTTTTGTAAATGCTACCACAAACTGCTGGTTACATTTATAGATTTATGTGTGGTTCAGTAGGAAGAGGTTCACTATTAATATCCATATTTACAGAACATTGTATTGTTTTGTGTTGCTACTTACTGAGTTATTTGCATCAGGTCTGTCAGTGGTTTGTATCACTGTGTGGAACCGCTGCACAGTAATAAACAGCTGTGTCCTCAGGCTGCAGATTTCTGTCCTGTTATTGTCACTGTTTGACGGTGTCTCGCCATCACTTGTTCTTTAAAGCACCATTTTTGCTAGTGCTCCCATCAACCACATGCGTAAAATCCATCATTTGTTTTCCATCACGCTGTCTGATCCACATTGTTGCATAGCTCTATAGTTAAAGAATAACCAGATGACTGACAGGTGATAGGTCAAAGACTGTCCAGGCTGCAAACTCTACTGAATCTGGCTGTAAGATCAATACCGTACACACCTGTGGAGACAGAAATCAATGCATTTAAGCCATTATTCATTGTAACTTTTAGCATTTCTATTCGTATTTAGTGGTTGAGATTCAGAAAGCTTCTCAAGGATGCAGCTAGCCAGCAGATATCAGAGCTATGAGAACATGGTTGATTGAGAAGCTGAACTGCATCTTGCAGTCTTCTGGAGCACTCACAGGTTATTATGAGGAAGTCTTAGTGTGTCATTTGAATAAAGGAGGCTTTGCATTTACATTTGAAAAATTCAATGTGAAGATTAAGTGACTGGTGAAAAATTGGAAATATGTGTATGTTCTGTATTTTTTTGTTATTTTTTTATGTGATACATTTTCTCTTGTGTTTTTTAACTTGGCTTCTCATTTTCACTCTCATTAATTCTAAAAAAAGAGCACTGATGTTCTTGCAAATTTCAGATCCTTTTTTTTTTTTTGCCATCTGAGGAGTGAGCCCCAAATGATTCCCACATAAGACAAACAAATTAATTATGCCACCACAGTGGTTTATTACGTGTGATGCTTACATGATCACCTTCATGATGACATTAGGTCAAACAAGAATGCAGGATATAGCTCAGGGAATATGAACAAGTCACAAGAATTGCCAGAGACACACTAGACTGCGAACGTCCAAGTATAGGTTTCCATAAAAATAGGTACAAAAGTAAACAGACTGTGTAGACACCTGAAATAAAGGCTCTTGTTTCTTATATCAAAGCAAACATGGCAGTTTCAGGTGCTTCTTAAACATTGCCTGGACATCGTTAGACTTTTTAAAAAAGATTAGAAAACTAACAGTCTAATCCTTTATTAATGCTTTGTTCTTTATTCACAATTGCATAAATATAAAATTCTTCCATCATGTAAATGGCTAAAACATTCAACAGCAAGTATAACATGTTGCGTGATGTCTCAAGCAAAAAAGATTTCAAAGCACTGAGTAAAGCTGTGTTTAACTTTTTTTCTTTTTTACTTAAAGGAAAATAAGCAAAACTAAATAAAGAAAAGTGCCATGAGAAAGTAATATAGACCACTCAAATGATGAAAACACAAACTTTTGGATTCACTGCTAATCTAAAAAAGCCAATTGACAGTAGTATCAGTATCATTAAATATTATTAGTATTAGTATAAATAATATTAGTATTTATCATATCAGTGCAAACTATATAGCTCGTCTCATTAAGAGCAAACCTGTCTTGAACGCATCAGCAATAAGAAAGCTCCTACTGCCGTGGTGTTCTCATTGACCAGACTGTTTAGACTCTGAAAGGTTTTTGTACACATCTGTTGGTTTTCTGACTGTGTTTACCTGGTACAGTAATACACAGCAGTGTATTCATGCTGCAATTCACTGTGCTGCTGGAAGAATCAGATGCAGATTAAGAATAAATTGTAATCAAATAAAGTTCCCACATATCTTCAGAAAAGACAATTTCTGTAAAACACCTGTAAAACTGAAAATAACTTTTAGTCTTTTAAGACAAGCTATAACTTTAGGAAGACATTTCTATTGTGTTTAGTAGTGTGAATCTGAACTGATGTCAGGTTTTCTGTGCTCTTAATGATGCAGTCACACACAAGGTACAACCTGTACAGGTCACTAACACACACATTATCAATTATCCCAATCCTGGAATACTGCAGCAGAACCCATGCTGGCACAGGGCGATCATGCAAACTCCACACATAAGAGTCCAGGCTAATTAGCGTATTCTATATGCTGTATTTTACATGCTTTTATTCATTGTAATGTTACCACATGACAACAACCGAAATTCAAATCACTGAGATCAGATTGTTTTTGTCTTATTCCAGTGTTTGACAGTATTTATGTGACAATATTTGATACCCTGAATGAAAACATATTGGGAATAAAATAAACACCACAAAATAAGTCAGTAGTATTTCACAAGTTATGTTATTATTGAACTTTGATTTTGATGTTATTTAACTTTTCTAGTCTTTTGGTTTCTTTGTTAGAGTTCTGGGCCCTGTTCCAGGAAGCCGGTTTAGTGGAAAAACTGAGTAAGTATACCCTGAGTTAACGAAAACTCTGGGTCTTCGGTTTCACAAAGCGAGTTCAGCTGCAGCCTGAGTGAGTCACTATGACGACACACGCCGTGAAGCTAACCTGCCCCCTAGCAGGTTTACTACAACTAACCCTGACTGTCTCCGCCCCTTTGTCGGAAACCTGACAGTAGGAAGTGTCAGACATGGCGTGTCCCTTCCTTGAAGAGCCAGTAGATGTTGAAGCCCAAATTCTCCGCAGAGCTCTCCGCCGGGAGAGAGTGATTAGAGCGCGTTTGGACATTTTATCATTTCCTGATGATTTTCTGTGCGAACGTTACCGTTTCTCAGCACAATCTATAAGTTATTTGATAACATCCTCAGGCCATATATTACGCATGTGACACATCGCGGACATGCTCTCAGTTCATTACATATTATTTGTATTGCACTTCGGTTTTTTGCAAACGGGAGCTTTCTGTATAATATTGGTGACGCTGAGCACGTTTCCAAGGCTACCGTCTGTCGGGCAGTCAGGAATGTTACAGTTGCACTGAAACGTCTCCTGTACTCGTTTGTGGTGTTCCCCGGT